GAACATAGGTGTGCATGTATCTTTACAATAGAATGATTTATATTCCTTTGGGAATATAAATCAGTAATGAGGCTGCTGGGTCAAATGGTATTTCTGGTTCTAGGTCTTTAAGGAATCGCCACAATGTCTTCCACAAGGGTTGAACTCACTTAGATTCCCACCAAAAGTATAAAAGCATCCTTATTTCTCCAGAGCCGTACCAGCATCTTTTGTTTCTTGTTTGTGGACTTTTTAATAATTGCCACTCTGACTGGTATGAGGTGGTATCTCATTCTGGTTTTGATTTTGCATTTCTCTAGTGATCAGTCAATCAACCCAAATGTCGATCAATGATAGACTGGATAAAGAAAATGTGGTACAGATACACCATGGAATACTATGCAGCCATATAAAGGAACGTGATCCTGTCCTTTGCAGGGGCACAGATGGATCTAGAAGCCATTATTCTCAGCAAACTAACACAGGAATAGAAAACCAAACATGTTCTCACTTTTAAGTGTGAGCTGAACAATGGAAACACATGGACACAGAGAGAGGAACAATGGGGCCTGTGGGTAGGGTGGGGGAGCAGGAAGAGAGAGAGAGAGCACCAGGATAAACAGCTAATGCATATAGGGCTTCATAGGCTTAATACCTAGGTGATGGGTTGATAGGTGCAGCAAACCACCACGGCACATGCTTACCTATGTAACAAACCTGCATGTCCTGAACATGTACCCCAGAACTTAAATTATTAAAAAACCTGAGCACCTGTTGTACAGTAGGTATTGCAGCTCATCTGTGTCTACCCAGTGCCTGCACATAGTGGGTGCTCCTGGTCTTCCCAGCATCTAGCAGCTGATGACCCCTTCTGAAATCCTTTTTCAATTGACTTCTAGACTCTCTCTCTCTCGGTTCTGCTCCTGCCTTACTGGTTCCTCCTCATCCCCCTGAGTTCTGTACCTTGGGAATGTGCCAGACCTTCGTTCTCTGGCTTCTTTATCTACATTCATTTCTGAGGAGGTTCTAGTCACATGGCTTTGCATAAACTCCCTCTACCGATGACTTCGAAGTCTGCGTCCCCAGGCTGCACCACTCTCCTGATCTTCTGTCAGACATCCAGCCACCTACTCAACATTTCTAAATATCTCATGAGCATCTCAGATTTGACAATAACAAACAAAACTCTCAGTCTCCACTTGCAAATTTGTCCCTCCAGCCGACTCCACAAACTTATTAAAACTCCAAAAGGTTCATTCCTGTCTTTCTCTCACACCTTAAATCTAGTCCATCAGCAAATCCCTGAAGGGATTTGGATTAAAATAATTCTACAACAGGCTGGGCACAGTGGTTCACACCTGTAATCCCAGCACTTTGGGAGGCAGAGGTGGGTGGATCATGAGGTCGGGAGTTCGAGACCAGCCTGGCCAACATGGTGAAACCCCCATCTCTACTAAAAATACAAAAATTAGCCGGGTGTGGTGGCATGCGCCTGTAGTCCCAATTACTCGGGAGGCTGAGGCAGGAGAATTGCTTGAACCAGGAGGCAGAGATTGCAGTAAGCTGAGATTGCGTTACTGCACTCCAGCCTGAGCAACAGAGCGAGACTCCGTCTAAAACAAAACAAAACAAAACAAAACAAAACAAAAACCTTCCAGAAAACATATCTCCTGCACTGCCAAGTACCCAGTACCAAACCTATTGCCTGACTCACTGCAGTAGCCTCCTAACTGTCCTCTTTGCCTTCCCTTAGTCTGCACACAGTAGCCAGTGCTCTTTCAAAAGGTTAAGTCTCAGCTGGGCATGTGGCTCATGCCTGTAATCCCAGTACTTTTGGAGGGCAAGGTGGGCGGATTGCCTGAGGTCAGGAGTTCAAGACCAGACTGGCCAAAACGGCAAAACCCCATCTCTACTGAAAATACAAAAAAAAAATTAGCCAGACATGGTGGCGCACACCTGTGATCCCAGCTACCTGGGAGGCTGAGACACGAGAATTGCTTGAACCCGGGAGGTGGAGGTTGCAGTGAGCTGAGATCGTGCAACTGCACTCCAGCCTGGGTGACAGAGCAAGACTCTGTCTCCAAAAAAAAGCTAAGTCTGGTGATGTCTCTCTCCTCTGCTCCCCCAAATGGCTCTCTATCTCACTCACAGTAAGAGTCAACACCTTTAAAATGGCCTATCAGGCCATCCATGATCTGGCCCGACCGATCTCTCTCTGACCCCACCTGCTCAAGCTGCATTGACATCCTTGTGGTTCCTTCTGCCAAGAATGCCCCTCCCTCAGATGCCCCCATGGCTCACTCTCTTACTTCCTTCAGGTCTCTGCTCAAATATCACCTTATCACAGCATCTTCTCTGCTCACCCCAAATAGCAACCCTATCCCTAGCCCACCCCTTTCTATCTCCTAATTCTTCTTCTCTCCATACAACTTATATGTTCATCACCTTTCTCTACTGAGGACAAGGATATTATTCTGCTTACTGTTCGATTGCCAGGCTCTAGTACAGTGTCCCTGATGTGTTGTAAGCACTTCATACTCATTGAATGAATGAATGAATGAATGAATGAATGAATGAATGAACATTCAATGAAAACTTGTTCAATAAAGGCATGTAGAAATCAAGATGTTACTTTTTTGGAACATCAGAGTGAGACTTAATCCCTCAATCCACAAACCAAATCCATTTTCCTAGATGTATGAGAGAAAGGAGTTAGTTTGGTAAGTCGCATTCACAAAAGAAAGGGACCCTGATGTTAAAGTTGGCCCAACTGGGTCTGAGCAGAGTAATTTTTAACTTCAAGATTCATGTTTTGAGGAAGATTTTGCTGAGATGTAGATAACTTACAACTTATTCCCACAAATCGGGAATGACTCAACTTTCATCCAAGTTGGATTTTGAGTTAGTAGGTCACTGGAACTTTGCCCTTTTCAATCCTTACACCCCTAACACCTTCGTATGAAAAATATACGTATCATCATTCTCTGGTGACTGCTGCACTAACATACAGCACTAAGCAAATAACCAGACCGCTGGCTTGGAAAGCAAACTAAAAGGGATTTAAAGGCTTAAGAACTCATCTTAATTCAAAGAACATGTTAAGCCCACTTAAGATGAACTTGAATAGTTCACTACTTAATTACAATAGCTCCACTCCTCTCCAGTTTTTATTTTGAGACGGAGTCTCGCTCTGTCGCCCAGGCTGGAGTACAGTGGTGCGATCTCAGCTCACTGCAAACTCCGCCTCCTGGGTTCACACCATTCTCCTGCCTCAACCTTCTGAGTAGCTGGGACTACAGGCGCCCGCCACCACGCCCAGGTAATTTTTTGCATTTTTAGTAGAGACAGGTTTCACTGTGTTAGCCAGGATGGTCTCGATCTCCTGACCTTGTGATCGGCCCACCTCGGCCTCCCAAAGTGCTAGGATTACAGGCGTGAGCCACCGCGCCCAGCCCAGTTTTTGTTTTTTTAAAGGTGAGGCAAAACATTAGTTGTGGAGGTGAAAGCAGGGTGGTACCTTTACAACCAGAAGCTTAAATTTTGGTCTGGGAATCCCTGGGAGTCCCTGATGCCCTTTTAGGAAATCTGAGGTCAACATTATTTTCATAGTACTAAAACATTATAGGTTGAGGTTCCCTAATCTGAAATGCTTCAAAATCTAGAATTTTTTGAGCACTGACATGAGGATCAAAGGACCTGCTCATTGGAGCAGTTTGGCTTTTAGGATTATGGAAGCTGAACTGGTAAGCATGTAATGCAAATCTTTCAAAATCTAAAAAAATTCTGAGATCCGAAACACTTCTGGTCCCAAGTATTTCATGTAAGCAATATTCAACCTTTAGTTGCCTTTTTCACATTCATACTCACAAGTGTACAAAAGTTTGCCAGAGACCACACAATATGCGATATCCCACAGACTGAATGCAGAAACATATGAGAATCTGTCTTCTAATTAAGCCAAACATTAAAAAAGATTTGCAAAAAGGTAGAACAATGCCACTCTTCTAATATTTTTTGTTTTGGAAAAGCTATTTTTCATTCAGAAATTGTTAGCTTGTAATGAATTAAATATTTTAAAATTATCTTAAATTTCTAATATGGTAAACATTAACATATATCCTTTTGGAGACTGTAACAAAACCTTTTGGGTCCTGAATTTGTCAGTGTAAAGGAGGTGCTTACAAAAAGTTTGAGAATTTCTGCCTTAGATATACTAACTAGTACACCTTCTGTCACCATTATTAGGAAATATGTCACAGCTTCTAGAGCTGTGATAAGGTATTTTGCTCCCTCCCTTTAACCAAAGCCTTTAGATGTCACTAAATCCACACTAAACCAATGACCAGTAGAGGACTCCCACTACTTAAGCTTAGGGTTTTTCTAGTAAACACCCTTCCCCTCTCCCCCAAGAACAAATCACCTATTTGTTGAAGCCCACATCCCATTATCATCAATCAACCAGACAGCCAGCGCGGTTTTAGTAAATAGTATAAATGTATTTTGTAATTTAAACAAAAGCTTCTGTTAACATTATTGCTAACATGACTAGACACTGTCACTAAATTTGGTGGCTCTGCTTAGGATGGTCTGAACACATGCAACATTCTTTTTGGAGCCACCTGAAAAACAAGGACTCATCATCCAGCTGAAACCGAAGACAGATTTTTTTACCAAACTGGAGGGAATTTTGAAATGGTTGACCAAATCTGTGGGATACAGAATGTACAAAATTCTCTTTTGGGGTTGCTGGGGTGACAGGGCAGCTCAAAGAGGTAACCATCTAGAACATCTGAAACTGAGGTATGAGACCTGTATTACAACTAATAACAAAAAAACACACCATATACTTAAAATGCTGGAGATGGTGAAGACACACACTAGTTTCAAATATTACACCTCCTCCCTCCAACTGAAGCAGCCCATTCCAAGCTGCTTGAGTAACTGCATGTAACATGTCTCAGGATGAATAGCACCAGCAGGGGCTTCTTTAGTGATGGTTAATAACTCTCTCAAACAATAGAGGGCAGGCCAGCTAGTTTATTCAAATTCAATCTAAACCTTAGATCTCTGGCTTAACAATAACATGAGAAATCTTTATAGACACAATAAATCTTGCATTAAATCAGAGATGGTTTAAATCAGTCTTGTAACTTCTAATATTCTGGGCTGGCAACTACAGCATGACAAATGTTTAGTGCAGTTACAAAATCACATTTTACTTTCCTTGGCCACCAAACCTTAAACAAATCTGAAAAATGCACTGTTTTACAAAGGCTTTTACCCACTGCTGCCAGTCTCAAGTAATTATAGTTTCTTCATCCCCCAGGAACATTTCTAAATTTTTCTTTGATCTGCTTGCCTTGAAGTGTATGGAAGAACTCAGAGAGTAAGTTTAAAGAATGAAGATTAACTGAGATGCCAAGTAAAGTTTTTATTGCAAGCACAGTGAGCAGAAAGAGATGTCTTCTCACACAAAGTGGCCACAAGGTCTGCCATTAACTAAATCTCTTTGACAAGCCTTCATTGGTTTAAAGCATATGAATTAGCTTCTTGCTATCAGGTGTACATCATTTCTGCCATGTGGGACATTTTCTTGGGAATATACAAGTAATACTCCATGTAGCCTGATAGGTCCTCTATGGTCACATCATCCACAAAGACTCGAGCTTGCTCAGAACAGGATCGGGGAGAGCCAGAGAGAGTTCTGGCATGCAGCGACTGAGAGTAGTCCTCAAGTGTGGATCTTCGTTCTGGAGCCAAGGGAGGGACACTCTGCAGGCCTGAAAAGGAATACACTTCCATATCATGCCATCTCTTACACTGGCATTCCTTGCCTATGCATGTGCATGGCTTGCCCTGGTTTAGCTTGGAAACGGATTGAAAGTCAGAGAGATCACTGGCTTTGAGACTTGCTTGGGAGACTTGGGTAGCGTCAGAGGAGTCTTCCTTCTTACTCTCTGATGGGAGCCTTGGAACAGAAGTTCTCAAAGGCTCAACGACTGCCCCTGTGTGATTAGCATCGAGAGAAGTAGAGCTTTCTCCTGCACTGAACTCTTTCGGGGTTGAAATTCCCAGCCCACTGCTGCCATCAGGTGAGTCAGTCTGGCTTTTGTGCTTCAGTTGACTGTTGGAAGAAGATGCTATTGTACTGCAATGTATAAACTTTGGAGGATGAAGGACAGGAGACTTAGAACGTCGACGACGCTGAGTTCTCACTGCTCCTCGTGAAGACTTCCTTGTAGACCTAAGAGGAAAAATATACACAAGAAGATGCTGGGATACAGAGCTGTCCTAAACAGATTCTTTATGATAATAGGAGATTTACCTCCCGTCAGATTTACGAGTCTAAGCTCATAAATTTCCCGCAAGAGATACACCTGCCTCCAATTCCATGCTGCCTAAGTCTTTGTGTCTCAAAAACTTCAAAATCATCTTATTAGCAAGCTATACAACCAGGTGAGATAATGGTATTTTTAAACTGAATCACTTGGGCCAAACATTTGGGATAGAACACCTTGGGAGCCTTTGACCAGTGAGTCTGAGGGAAGCACCTCAAACAGACAACTGAAACCAGTCCCGTAAAGTCTAAATATTGTGCCCTAAACCTGAATATAGCAGCGTCAGAACCACTGTGAGGCTAACGTTACAAATGACCATTATGCCATTACTATTAAATAGATTTTTGATTCGTTTCTATCATTGGTAACAGCCAATCGATCAAAACCAAAAAACTAACAATATTTACAATCCCTGAGGTTTTCAGACACTGGGAATTACTGGACACACTATGTAAGGTAACTATTTATAAAACATTTAAATAAAGAATTGAGTGAAAAGAAAAGATACTCAAAACTGCTAAGTGAATTAGAGACAAGAACCAAACAGGACACTAAAAAAAAAATGTTTTATTTGGAATTAAAATGAATGAGCTAAACAGAACACAGTAGTCCCATCTTATCCATGGTTTCACTTTCTACAGTTTCAGTTACCTGCAGTCAACCATGGTCTGAAAATATTAAATAAAAAATTCCAGAACTAAACAATTCGCAAGTTTTACATTGCGCCCCACTGTGAGTGGCATGACGAAATCTTGCACCATCCTGCTCCATCCCACCTGGGATGTGAATCATCCCTTCGTCCAGGGTATCCACACTGTATATGCTACCTACCCATTAGTCATTTAGTAGCTATCTTGGTTATTAGATCCACTATCATGGTACTGCAGTGCTTGTGTTCAAGTAACTCTTATTTTACTTAACAATGGCCCCAAGTGCAAGAGTAGTGATGCTAGCAGTTTGGGTATACCAAGGAAAGCCACGAAGTGCTTCTGCTGTGGTTAGAATGTGTCACCCACAAGTTCATGTGTTGTAAACTTGGTCCTGAACGCATCAGTGCTGAGACCTTTGGGGGTGATTGGGTCACAAGGGCTCTGCCTTCAAGAATGGATTAATCCATCCACAGATTAATGAATTAAAAGGTTAGTGAGGGAGAGGGACAGTTATCACAAGAACGGCTCTGTTATAAAAGCCGGTTTGGCTACTTCTCACGAGCCCCCTTGCCACGTGATATCCTTCCCCATGTTATGATGCAGCAATGATACACTCACCAGATGCTGGTGCCATGCTCTTACACTTCCCAGCTTCCAGAAATGTAAGAAATAAGTCTCTTTAAAAATTACCCAGTCTCAGGTATTCAGTTACAGCAATAGAAAATGAACTAAAACAGCTTTCTTTAAGAGAAAAGGTGAAAGTTCTTGACTTAATAAGGAAAGGAAAAAAACAAAACACATACTGAGGTTGCTAAGATGTACGGTAAAAACGAATCTCCTGTCTGAAACATGGTGAGGAAGGAAAAACAAACTTGTGAAGACTTACTGTTGCACTTCAAATGCAAAAGTTACAGCCACAGTGCATGTAAGTCCTTAGTTAAGATAGAAAAGGCATTAAATGTGTGGGTGGAAGACATGAACAAAAACGTGTTCTGACTGATGGCAAATGGGTTTGATATTGTCTGCAGTTTCAGGTGTCCACTGGGGTTCCTGGAACATATCCCCTATGGATAACGGGAGACTTGTACACACAGCTAAAGAAAGAATTACCTGACTGGAAAATAAATCTGAATTATTTGTAACAGGGTCCAGCAAATTACAGCCTGTGGGTCAAATCTGGCTCCCTGCCTGTTTTTGTACAGCTTGTGGACATTGCTCCAGTGGGCTAGCACTGTGAGCCACAGACCAGGCTAGAGGATCCTCCCCTGTCCCTATTCTCCCTGCCCACCTTCCTGGCCAGTGGACACGTTGCACCACTGTCCAGTGCCCACACTGGCTAACATCTACATGTTGGGTCTCTACTGTTGGCAACTGCTGATCATTGAGAGGCAGAATCTCAGTTCAAGACTCCAACCAGTGCTGGGATCTCTGGAGGAGAAAAGAGCATGCTGGGATCTGAGCCTCACTGGAACAGAGAGTAGAAATGACCCTGGCACTACCTGCTACCCACCCATTCCACAAGGTTCTCCTTTCAGGCTAGTCACTCTATCCTGCGACTGTCTCAGCAACTGAAGACAAAATGTGTCCACCAGCCAGGACGGCCAACCCCAGGCAAACAGGGTAGAGTAGGAGTTTTCTCTCTTATTTAAGCACTTATTAATAACCTTGGAATTTTGCTTCTTGGCCTCCAATGCCTAAAAAATTTACCATATGGTGCTTTACAAAAAAAAGTTGCCAACTCCTGACCTAAAAGGCAGTACAGAGACAAGGATTTGGAAAAATGTAAAAGTTAAGAGGGATGACAGAGTAAGTCTGAATTTCTGAAGAAATGAATACAGAGAACAGAGGACAAGTGATTTTCATAGACATAATGACTGAGAAATGTTTGATTTGATAAGAGAATCTATGAACACAGGAAATACACCAGAGCAGGATAAAAAGAAATCCACATAGAGATACTCTGTAGCAAAACTATAGAATAGCAAAGACAACAGGAAGATCTTAAAAGCAGCCAGAGGCCGGGCGCGGTGGCTCAAGCCTGTAATCCCAGCACTTTGGGAGGCCGAGACGGGCGGATCACGAGGTCAGGAGATCGAGACCTCCTAGCTAACACGGTGAAACCCCATCTCTACTAAAAAATACAAAAAACTATCTGGGCGAGGTGGCGGCGCCTGTGGGTCCCAGGCTACCCTCGGGAGGCTGAAGGGCAGGAGAATGCGTAAACCCGCCGAGGCGAGCTTGCCAATGACCTGAGAATCCGCCCACTGACTCCACCCGGGCGACAAGCCCAGACTCAGTCTCCAAATAAAAAAAAAAAAAAAAAAAAACACCAAGACTAGAAAGATTATTTCCAAATCAATAACAATTGGATTGAAGATATGCTTTTCAATATCAATGTAATGAAACCAGAAGACAATCAACTATACCTCATTTAAGTGCTAAGAGAAAATAACTGTCAATCTAGAAATATAATGTCAAGTATATCAACTCTATCTTTCAAAAACAAGGATGAAATAAAGACATTTTCAGATAAATGAAAGCAAAGTACAGTCGGTCTTCTGTATCCATGGATTCTACAACCTGTGGATTCAACTAGCAGCAGACTGAAAACATCCCTTCCACCAAGTTCCAAAAAGCAAACATTGAATTTGCTGTGCTCTGAGCACTATGCTGAGTCTGTGTGAGTGAAGTGCTGTGTAAGCACTGTGGTAGGTATTATAAGTACTCTAGAGATGGTTTAAAGTACACACGGAAAAATTGAGCACAGGTTGTAAGGCAAATACTACACCATTCGGCGTGTCTAAGAGGGAAATAAGGGCACCCTCAGATTTTGGTATTGAGAGGGTGTGTGGAGTGGGGAGGACCTGGAAATCGATTCTTCCCACCGAAACAGATGATTGTTATTTACCAATAGGACATGGACGTTAACCAATCAGGGCCCCTTTCAAATGTATTTATGGATATTACAAATGGCCAAGAGGTTCCTATATTACCTATTCAATAACCCCTCAACTGAAAAAAACTACTTTAGGAAAAAAGTAAGCTGATTGTAATGGGAGGTTCCTGAGGTGAAAGTATGGTTGGAGAAAAAGAAGTTATAAAACATAGAAAATTCTAATAAACACTGTCTGCTTAAATAATAATAATAAACCTAGTTGTGAGATTAAAATTAAGTAAGCACAACTAAAATACTCGGGCCAACTACATCATGGAAGTCAGGGATCAGAGGAAAAGGGGTTCTGAAGGAGAAGACTAAATATACATAATTGTGTCTTTTGTTAAAAGCACGTCAGGGGCAAAATTTCCAAGGCTAACATCTACTGGAAAGAATAGAAACAAAGTTGTTGCCATTTCCAACCACCAGAGGAAAGAAACAAACAAATCCTTTGCAAACCAATTGTTTTGAAACAATTGAGAAAGGAAACCAGGGAGAAGTAAGGTGGAAAAAAAAGAAAGAAAAACAAAAAGGCAGGACATAAGTAAACGCAGAATCCTCTGAAGATATCAATATCAAATAACGTAATACACTAACCCCAGCAGTTAAAAAACTGATCACATTGGAATAAAACAGAAAAAATAAACTAGTTCATACGATATTTATATGGAAACAGCTTAAAATACAAGGAACACAGAATGCTTGAAAGAATAGGAAGGCTAGGTGTGTCACACCTATATCCACACTTTGGGGGGCGGGGTGGCAGGATCACTGGAGGTCACGAGTTTGAGGGACTAAGCCTGGGCCATGTGTGAAATTCTGTCTTACTAAAAAATACAAAAACTAACTGGCATGGTGGCGGGGCACTGTAACCCCGCTTACCTGGGAGCCAAGGGCAGGGAGAAACATGGCTCAAACCGGAGGCGAAGGTGCAGTGAGCTGGATTGTGACACTGCACTCCAGGGTCTGTGTTGACAGAGGCAAGAACAAGACTCTGTCTCAAAAAAAAAAAAAAGAAAAAAAGAAAAGGACACACAAGGGAAACACTCACTAGAAGAAAACTTTAAGACAAAAGCCATTATGAGGGATTAAGAATGTCACTACATAATAAAAGTTTCAATTCACCAGGAGGAAAACATTCAAAACCTATGCTATATAAATCCAAAAAAATAACCTCAAGATACATAAAGCAAAAACAAAGAATTTAAAGGGAAAATAGACAAATTCACTTCCATGGGGTAGATTTCAACATACATCTTTATTATTTGTAAGTCAAGTTAACTAAAAAATTGAAAAAAAGGTTCAAATAACACATTTAAAAGCCTGATTTAATGGACACAGAATCCAAGAATAATGAGAGAAGTCCCAATATTCTCAAATAGACATAGAATATTTGTAAATATTGAATACGGACCAGGCCAAAAAGAAAGTCTCAGCAAATTCAGCAAAAGAAGGAATAGGTCCTTCTCTAATCATTGGGTCTTAGGTTCTATATCATAACCTACTCTTTTCTGGACACTCAGGAAGGAAAATCCAATAATATTTTATAATATTGGAATGAAAATCATTTCAATAAGAAGCTCTTACCCGTGCCAACTGTCTTTAGATGCACATGTGGTTTTAGGTTTGGTATCATCTGTTGCTGTTCTGACTGGTGCTCTGACACCTGTGCCTTCTCCAACAGACAGAGATGCTATGGACCTGAAGACAAGAACAAAGTTTATGGCTACACAACACTATAAAATGAGGAGAACATATTGTTCTCACTAACTCAAATACAATTTTTATCATACATGTTTTTTCCAGTTTGGGTTTCTCAAAAATTGCTCAGCTTTTAGTGTACATTTTCCTTCAAAACCAAATTTAGAGGATCCCTAAAAGCCCATGGCTGCAAAATCATAAGCCGAAGAATGATTGGTAAGTGTACCCAGCAGCAGGATATAAATAGACTTTCAGGCTGTTTCCCTGGGGCAGATCAGGCCTTATGGTCAGAGAATGCTAATGACACTGACCATTTATCTTACGCAGGCAAACCAGAGTCATGGAACTAAGTTTAGAAGCAAAAACTTTAGGAGACTCCATCTAACTTAACACTGAATACATTTTCAAATATTATGCAACTTTTAGAAAAATATTCTAACTTTTGCAACTAATAAACCTGAAATATTAATCAGAGTTAAATCCTTGTGGTTTAAAATTATACAGATAATACGGGTTCCCAGTAAAGAACATGAAAAAATCTAAAAGCAAGAAGAACAGAATCATCCATAACCTCACAACCCAGAGACTACCAACATCGAACATTGGTGGAAATCCTTACAGACTTTTTCAACACACATAAACATACACACACACACACACACCCCTCCTACTATACATGCTATAGTGCTGACAAAATTCTTTTGAAAGAGACATTAATCTACTAAAATGAAAGGATGTTCAATGAAACATAATTGAAAGTAAAAAGTAACTGGGAATAACCTAAATATGTAATAGAAAAAAAAATACTGTATTTCTAAATTATGGCACATCTATACAGTAAAATGTTGGGAATTTATTAGAAATTAAGTGTACAAAGAACTTTTAATGATATAGGGGAACGCTTGTAAGGAGAAAGCAGCATGGTTAAACACCTATACATATTATTATGATCTCAACTAGGTAAAATAAGTATAGGCTATCATGAACCAGTGATATAGGTGTTAAAACTGTGATTTTTACTTCCGTTTTTATCCTGTTTTTTTCCGTAAATTTTTCTATTATAAGCATGTATTATATTACAGTCAGATAAATAGGATATTGTTTTGTTATATATATCGATTTATATCTATATAGAGATTTGTCCTAATAAGACAAATACCATTAAGGAGTCAAAACCTGCTGAACGGGATCATGCTAAATTCCTGGCAAGGCTTGGTTAGTTTATGAGTCAATCCTCAGATGTCCCATTTGTAAACTGGCAACAATATAAAACAACTAGAATGTATGATACACTACTACACAAGTCTTATTCTGCTTAGTCATGCTAATGACTCATCCCTTCTCTTACTTTGTTTTCTCAAATGTTCTCCTTCCTTTATAATTTTACTCAAGGCAGAATATATGCTACAAATATATAATTTTTTTCATTTCAGCTTTTATTTTAGATACAGGTGGTACATGGCGTAGGATTGTTCATGGGCATACTGGACCCAGGTAGTGAGCACAGTACTCTATAGGTAGGTTTTCCACCCACATTCTGCTCCTGGCCTCCCCACTCCAGTAGTCAGCAGCATCTGCTGTTCCCATGTCCATGTGTGTTCAATGCTTAGCTCCCACTCCTAAGTGAGAACATGCAGCATTTGGTTTTACATATACATAATTTTTGACCATATATTTTGAAAAATTTTTAAATAATGTTCCAAGTAATTTTTAGGGATACCAAAATGGCTTAATTTTACTTTTTTTTTTTTTGAGACAGGGTCTCGCTCTGTTGCGCAGGCCGGAGTGCAGTGGCACGATCTCGGCTCACTCCAACCTCCACCTCCTGGGCTCAAGTGATCCTTCCACCTCAGCCTACAGAGCAGCTGGGACTACAGGCATGTACCACCACGCCAATTTTTTGGTTTTTTTTGCAGAGACAGGGTTTCGCCACGTTGCCGAGGCTGGTGTCAAACTCCTGAGCTCAAGTGATGTGCTCACCTCGGCCTCCCAAAGTGCCAGAATTACAGGCATGAGCCATCATGCCCAGCCTGGCTTTATTTTACATTTCAACTTCTTTTAAAATATCAGGAAAGAAGTCTGTGTATCAAGAGTTACTTATATAAATTTACACACTAAGAGATTTGTATATATAATTGTGTGTACACATTTCTAGTATTTTCCTGATTTAAAAGAATTATTCCTATATAAGAAATCACAAAGGATACACTGCAACCACAATCTGGAACTATCTGCTTCTCTGCTTTGCTTCTGTTTCCCAAGACGATTTATCAAAGTACTGATATGAACTGGCAAGACGACCACATTAGAAAACCATCAAGACGAAAGATACGTTTTAGAAGTATCATGGAAGCAAATATGAGCACCTATAATATCTACTGTGCAAATCTATCAGCATAAACCTTTTAATTTGATAGGCCAAAAATAGTACTAGCAACAGGCAGGTGGCTATAGCAACAACTAACATCTAGTTTTTACTTTGTGCTAGGTACTGCATGCATTTCTTCATATTGTCTTCAAGGTACCACATAAAGGATGGTTAAGAGCAGAGGTTCTGGAGACAGGCTGTCTAGGTTCAGATCCTGGCTCTGCAACTTTTACCAATGTGACTTTTAGTAAGTAATTTAATTTGTGTGAGTCTCATCTGTAAACTGAAATGACACTAGCATCCATGCACTAAGGTGGTAGTGAGGATTAAATAATGTGCAAAGTACTTAACCCGGTGTTTAGGGCACAGGAAGTAAATAATAAACACTAATGATGATTATTATTACTTGTGGGTGTTCTACTCTGAGCTTCCAGTGTTTAGTTTCCATTCATGAAAAGAAATTCTTATATCCATTAAAAATGTTGATTTCTTTTGGCCTGGGAGAAAGAATAGGGGTGAGAAGAGTCTTACACAGAACATTTTGCAAAGGGTGAAACATTAACATTCAGACAGCAGCTGGTATGCAGGTACACTAATTAGTTTGCCCAAAGGGTCCAAGGTTATTGATCTCAGTGACAGAACCCTACTGAATAGAGGTTTCCATAGTGATAGACTTAGCAATCACAGACCATGAAATCTACAATGTCTTCATAGATTTCTATTGAGCCAATCCACTTTTAGTGAAAAATACTGTGATTCTCTTGAGATGTATGATAAAATCCCTGATGGGACACCACTTGATAATCTTTTATTAAAAAGAGGTGGGGGGAAGCCCTCCTCAAAGTGAACGAAAACCAAAACACCCAACCTAGGAGGGCAAATGAACTGCTACTTTTCAAATTTAACCAAAGGGTTTTTTTTTTTTAAAACTAAAACAATACTGTGCAGAATCTGGAAGGATGTTGTGTTGCACTATTAGCATTTATATCTTCTTTCAATAATGAGAAATTTTAAAAGAGGAAGAGCTTTTTAGGGAGAAGAGACTATTTTGAATGAGTAAACAAATAATTCCAAATAATGTATTACATATTTAATTACCCTGATGCATCCACTCTTAATTTCTTGAAAGCAGTCTGTAGACTCTCCTCCTCTCCATCCTTGGCTTCGGATTTCATTGTGTAAGTTTTTACACTACTTATCGATGTTCCTGTTAACACTAAAAAAGAAAATAAAGTGAGCAAAGTAAAAACAGATGGGATCAAAAGTATACCTTTTTTTAAGATTTTACATTCCTGTTACCTTTACTGTTAGAAAAAAAAAAGCAAATTTTTATTTCAAAAAGGAAGTTTCAGTGTAGATAACTGGAGACTATAGGTTTTCTTAAGGGGAAACAAATGAAATGATACCAAAAATGGATATGTACTATGACAGAATATAAACCGTTCACATACTTGATGCCAATATCCTATTACACAATTTTGGAAACTAGATGATCTGAAACCTATGTTTCAGTATACATACTTTTTAACATGGGAATCTCCCCAGTTGGTCTAGAAATCTATGAACAAAATGACATCAGAAATAAAAGGGAATAGCTCAAATTATAGCACTCTGATTCTTTAAAATGACACTGAGTATTTGTCTGGCCTAACCCTAGTTAAGTATAACTTTCATGACACATGATAGCATTTCTCTAGAGCAATCCTGACCCAGACAGCTATGTTCAGGAAGATACGTTTTACAGAACAAGGCGTTACCACTGTGAAAGCAGAATTATAAATACACTCTACCAGTAAGGCTGATACTTCCATTTGTGTTTTTATTCATAGCCTGGAATAGTATAATTAATTGTTAAACAAGAAAGAAAATAAATGAACTATATACTTGCAACCCCACAAAAAATTATTGTGCACGTGAGTGGAAAAAGAAAAAAAAAAAACAAAACTTTTCTTTAGCCTAAAGGTTGAAAGTAAAGAAAAAAAATAGAAATGACTATTGTGTAGACGCACCATTAAATGATCTCTTAACTAGTTTGATTAACCAAAGTCCTCCATATTTTCCACCTGATTTTTATGTTTTAAACAGAGAAAGGGAGATGAAGAACCAACCAAAGCAACAAGAAACACAACAAAGAAGTCTGTTAAAAAACCCTTGAATCTAGTCTCCAAATTATTTTTTCACTCAGGGTTATTAGTACCAAATCCTGAATAAAAATTAAGCAAACCAGCATCTATGAACATATCAGAGACAATCAGAAAGAAAGAAAGAAAAAAGTACAGAAAAAAATAGAAATAGAGGATATCTGAAGCAAAAGATTCACTTCACCTCTTTATTTCTAAGCTGTTACCGCCCCCCCCCACCCGCCCCCACCCCACTTAGGCATTCTCAGAGGGAGCAGTGCCTCTCCACCAGGCCTTGGGTCCTCTCTGATTCATATCTGCTCGTTTCTCTCAGGGTGGCTCTGAAGTTATTGTGAGACCTCTAATATTCCAAAGGTCAAGGTGTCATCATGTTTCATATAATGTAACCATTATATTATTGTAGTACCAGCGCAAAATAAAAAGGCAAGGAATCAGGACTTTTCACTTTATTTATTTATTTGCAGAAGTTAAGATATTTTAGGCAGAGCTCTCTGGGGAACACTGAAAACAGTCTTAAAAGAATTCAGCTACTTTAAAAAAAAAAAAAAAATTCAGCCAGCCTGCACTTCAACTTCTCAGGACAAAAAAAAAAAAAAAAAAATTAAATACATTCTCCACGTATATTTTGCTGGTATTTAAGTACATAAACATGAAGAAACATTATCCACACAATCCCATGCTTCACTAGTCTCTAATTCTCAATTTAGGGTAGGATCCCCCCCAAATACACAATCAATTCCTATATACCTGGGGGGAGAGGTGAGCAATCACTTATTTCAATATTTTCAAAGCTTCACATCATCTAAAAGAGTACTACTGTAGGTTGTAAACAAATTCTTCCTGCTGGTAGAACTAAATTGAAGTTTGACTTATAGTGTTCCTCAATTACCTTATGATCCGTTAGTCAATGTTCAGCCCTTACCGAGTTAATAAATCATCTGAGCCAGTCTCCCCAACCCGCAGACCCCACACAAGTCCTCTTTCGCCCTCTCTGGAAATTAGTCAGCATTTACGTACATGTCACATTTAAGTATACACTACTGAACCCTACAGGCAGAAATTCATTTCGTTCACAAATATTTACAGAATACCTACCACGTGCATGGCACTAGAATGAATGCTAGGGATAGAAGCCTAAACTCCATTTCTGTAAGGACTAGAAGAATCTCATTCCTGCCCTCCAAGAGCTTACAATATAACACTGTGCTAAGAGGCTCTGAACCCACATATGTAACTTTTAATTATACTATGCTGACTTAATAGCATGGCAGGTGATCACCCTAGATGTTAATACAAACTTTACATTCCTGTTGACACACTAAAAGATCTATCATCTAAAAACCAAAACAGGCCAGAATTAAAATCTGACTACAGATTAAAACTTCAGGAATGAAGTTCTGTCTAAATGATTTTCAGACTTCCAGCATTTTTAACTACTCACCTTTTTTCTCAGTTATTTTAGCCAAAAGCAAAGGTGAGCGTTAGGCATGACCTTAAGGGCCAGAGAAGAGCATCTCTGTAATTATAAAAGGCTCATTAAGCTCCTCTGCATCCCCAGATCCCCATTCACTCAAAGAAAGGGCTGTACAACTAACTCCGGACAACAGATACAATTGGCTTGCCCTTCTTCATTAATACCAAATTTGTGGGAGACGGTCTTGGCGTTTTAACTGCAGTGAACTCTTGAACAACATCCAAAGAGATGAAACTTTAAAAAGCCTATTCGAAGTTACTTCATGTTAAGTCAAATCAAACCGGGCAATTTAACTTTGCCTCGGATTTTCCACAACCTTACAAAAATTACAGTTATTCTAAGTTCCTCCATCAAAAGGACGAATTCCTGGTTTTCTCTTTCAACGAAATGGATGCGTCACAATCTTACTTCTATCTTGCCGTTTTAACCAAGACCTCATTGAACCTCAAGTCTAGGTCTACATTTCCACGCCCGAGAAGACCTAAGAACGATCAAGAAGGGATGGCGCGGGTAAGCGTTGTTATCACAACGTTAAAGATTTCGAAACTCCCAGACCACCAGGAAGCGTAGAGTATGGGGAAGAAAACCCTGTCCAGCAACTCGAACAGGCAAACTAGACCGGGAGGAAACAATCGGCCCCCAGGACAAAAAGCACATTCACACCCCTCCGTGCAACCCACTCATCCCTTTACACTCGCAGTGCTGCAGCCAAAGCACGAAGTTCTTTCTTTTTCACCCAGAGTCTGTGCCTGTCGCGGTTAAACACAAATGGAGAAAATTCCTGGTCAGAACCCAGAGGGGTAGGAGGTGGCTTGGAGTGTGAGGACAACGCCGAGGAGGGAGCTGTCCAGGGGCTCTGCCCGCCCGGGGTCTCCAGCTGGAAAGTTGCGCTCCTCGGGAGATTCCCGGGGTCAGAACGAGAGGCTGGAGTTGGAGCGAGACACCAGGGATGCGGAAGAAGAAAGGAGTGGGGCCGAAGAGGTAGCCAACGAGAATGGGGCTCCGAGACGAGAGGGAAAGGGCGGGAAGGGGCAAAGGGCGGCCAAGGAGGACGAAAAGGGGAAGCTGTCGCTGGGCGGGAGACGGCGGAGGAGCGGGACGGGGCGGGGTCCGCGGGAGAACAGGAAGGCGGGAAGGGGAGAGAGCGCGGAGTTCGGAGCTCCAGCAGGCACAGGCCGCGGCAGATAAGGGGGCGCGGAGAGGCCCAGGCCCGGCCCAGGCAGGAGGCGTCGGGAGACGACGCGACCCAAGGCGGGCGGGCCCAGGAAAAACCGCCCGCGGCCAGACCGGCTGTGCAGGCCGAGACGCTATGCTGCGGCCCCTCCCCGTCACGTCAGGGCACTTACCGCCTCGCAGCTGGGGCGCTCCGGTGATGCGGTGCAGTCAGTTCAGAGCGTCTCTCCCGAATCTCGGCGCCCGACTGACCCGGATCCAAACCAGCCAAGGGGGCGGCCCGCGCCTCGGGAGTCGCATTGCGCCTGCGCACTCCGGCATGCACCCCGCCCCCTACCCATGCTCCTCCCACCCCGGTGACTCGGCAGCGCGGCAGGGGACGGCTGCGCAGGCGCAGGGCGGGGGGCGCGCCTCTCGAACGCCCCGCACCCGCCCCCCTCGGAAGCACGTGCGCCTTACGTAATTTCCTGTTATTCTTCGGTCTGCCTCCTCCCATGGCGTGGATTTGCTCCCGAGCAGCTTTTGGGGCGTGCCTGCTTCCTCCTGTCTGTCAGGTGAGTGAATAGGTGTCATTCTTCGCAGTCGTTCTCTGCCTCCACCGCCCCGGCATCTCTTTGTGCTTGGTCCTCTACCTGGAGTCACCTATGCAGCGGAATCCCGCGGGGCGGGGGCGAGGACGTGCGGGGGTCTTTATGGCAGCCAATCCCCGGCTGAGCGCTTGGCCAGAGTTTCTGTGATGCTAGAATCTGGACTGCCTGCGACCTCTCCAGGACTCGGACACCAACCCTCGCCTCCTGGTGATCTTTCAGGACCTGCAGAGAAGCGAAGAGGTATTGGACGTGGCCAGGGTCAATAGTGTGAAGCCAGAATTAGAATTGAATTGAAATGCCTCGGTTTTGATATCGCTGTGTTTGTCTTGAGGCAACTGCTTTTCCTCCTCTGGGCCTCTCAGTTTTCCATCTAGTAAGTAAAGAAGTTGAACCTTATCGGTGAATCTCGTGTTTTCAGGCGTAGACTCCTTTGAGAATCTGGTAAGAACTGTAGACCCTCTTGCCAAAGAAATGCATCTACACACCAAATTTTGCAAAAAGATTTAGGCAGTTCACCAAAGGAGATGAATTTTAGGGTTCTTTACATTTTTCTGATTCTGAATGTTGCTCAGATGGCAGGCGGGAAAAGGTGATCTGTGCAACAGCTGCCACCTGCTTCATCACCAGGACTGGTTCTGCTAATCTAGCTGTGCCTCTCCTCGCCTGGCAGTCTCCAGCTCCACGTCTGCACTTCTCAAAGCTTCATGAGAACAGATGATTTTGCTCAATAGAGTTGGCTGGTGTTGATTGTGGCCCACCCCTAGAGTGAGGGTTTTTCCCTGAACCAAAACTGGCCCCATCCACCCTCATTCCCCAATACCTTAGTTGTAGTCAACTGACTAGATAGGCTGCCGAAGATGGTTTAACTGTGTCCAGCTTAACTACAGCCAGTCTTTGGAATGCCTGGCCTATATTTGTAAATGAAATCTAACAATTTATTGTATAACGTTGTTAAACATAAAGCATGAATTTGACCTTGGGTAAAACATTTTAAATTCTCGTCGTTCATACCAGAGGTTCAGTAACTGACGGGATGAAAGAAAACTGTTCATTGTAACCTAATGATGCTAATTAGATAGCTTTAGAGTATATTAGAGATTAGATAACTTGTTCTAGCTGGCTTTGTCCTTTGTCTCACAGTGCTGGTAAGTCAGGATTTAAACTGCCCTTCTCAACATCTCTTGGAAAAGAAAAAGCGGGAAATATGATGCATTTTTGTTTCTCAGACCTTGCCAAGTGAAATGTATCAAGACCAAATACATCTTTTTAAGCTGCCACTTCAAAATATAACTTCAGATAAAATGTCATATATCCTTGAGAAGGCCGGGCACGGTGGCTCACACCTGTAATCCCAGCACTTTGGGAGGCCGAGGCGGATGGATCACTTGAGGTCAGGAGTTTGAGACCAGCCTGGCCAACATGGCGAAACCCCGTCTCTACTGAAAATACAAAAAGTTAGCCGGGTGTGGTGGCACATGCACCTGCAATCGCATCTACTCAGGAGGCTGAAGCAGGAGAATCTCTTGAAGCCGGGAGGCAGAGGTTGCAGTGAGCCAGAGATTGCGCCACTGCACTCCAGCCTGGGCCAACAAAGCAAAACTGTCAAAAAAAAAAAAAAAAAAAATCAAAGAATATAGAAGTTGGAAGTACAAATTTGTTCCAAATTCAGAGACACAAAAGTAGTGATTTGCTTTAAAAATTACATATTTAAAGAAAAGCAAAAAATGAAATGTCTCTAATTTGCAGCCAGCCATTCTT